CCTCAAAGCTGAAAGTTCAAATTCCCACCAAATACGCCCGAATCCGGTGTAATATCAAACGCAACATCCAAATCTACGCTCAGACTTACCGGAAATCCTCAAACAAACAAAGAATCATAAAGCTTTCACGCATCACTCGGAGCGAATTCCAAGGAATTCTAGGGTTTCAGATGGCTGCAGAGACAAGAGAGAATAGGACTTGGTCTCGCTATCTTCGATGCGGTCTACAGTAGTCTCTCTTTCCACATGCCTATCAGTTACAAACTTTGATAAGCAAAAAAGTCCTTATCCGATCTTTTACCATACTTATCAATAAGTAAAGTTACTTATGTATGATAAGAGCAATTAAGAAGCTGTGTTGCGGATTTGATCCACCAATTCAAATCTAGTGAATATTCGCAAACACGTCCGGTCGTACCCACTTTCTCTCTCCTCTCCCTCTCTCTCTCATCCCAAAGTACAGTCGCTTTCAGCAATTAATCGGCATTATCTCGTTTTATTGGATAATTATCGCCGTTTTTATAGCTATTACTGATCGGATTTGTCGACTGTGGGGCCCCTTTTTAATGCCTCAATTTTTTTAATTACTTATTTTTTATTCTAAAAGTAAAATAAATAAACAAATATTTATAGATAATTATTTTGTTTCCAAATATAATTTATAATATATTATGTAATCCAAAGGTTTTAAATGTGGATCTGATAAATATCTCAATTTTATGAATTTTTATTTTTAAAAATATCATTAAAAAAATATTAAATTATTAAATTAACAATTAATAATTTTTTTATTTTTAAAAAAGCTTGTATTAGTAATATTTTATTATTCATTATTGATTCAAATATATGTAATATATATTAAATTTATTTAATGAGAGGCTGTGCTTGTGCTTTTATTGTATTTTTTTAATATTTAAATTATTTTTTAAAATATTTTTTATTTTTTATTTTTTATTTTTATCTTGAAAAGGTTTCAATAACATTCTTAAATTTTCAAGTTAAAAAAATATTTTTAAAAAAATCTTTAAATTAAAAAGAAAACTTCAAAAAATGCGTTTAAAATTTTTTAAAAACTTCAAAAATATATTTAAACGTTTTAAAAACTTTTAAAAAGTGCATTTTTTAAAAAATAAAAAATACTTTTACTATTAGCATAACTTTTCAAAAATACTCGTAAACTTTCTAAAATAACATTGAAATGTTTATAGATTGTAATGTCCCACATTGGTTGGGGGAGGAAAACAAACCACCGTTTACAAGGGTGTGGAAACCTTCTCCTAGCAGACGCGTTTTAAAGCCTTGAGGGAAAGCTCGAAAGGGAAAGCCTAAAGAGGACAATATCTACTAGCGGTGGATCTAGGCTGTTACTAATGGTATCAGAGCCAGACATCGGACGATGTGCCAGCCTTCTCGCCACTGGGTGCTAAAGGGGGTGGATTTGGGGGCGGTCCCACGTCGATCGGAGTAAGGAAAGAGTGTCAGCGAGGACGCTAGGCCCCGAAGGGGGGTGGACTGTGACCTCCCACATTGGTTCGAAGGAGAACAAACCACTATTTATAAGGGTGTGGCTCGAAGGGGGGTGGATTGTAACCTCCCACATTTGTTGGGAGGAGAACAAACCACCATTTATAAGGGTGTGGAAACTTGAAACCTTCCCCTAGCAGACGACAGCCCAAAGAGGACAATATCTGCCGGTGAATCTAGACTGTTACTTAATCTATAAAGTGTCAGTAGATCTAGACTGTTACTTAATCTATAAAGTGTCAGTAGACGTTTTTTGTCCATATACTGACCATATAATTTTTTATTAAAAATATTATTGAAACTCTATATTCAAACTTTTGGTTGAATAAATAAAAAATAATGAAACATAGTTTGTCTTATTATATAAATAAAAAATGTGGCTTCTGGTTGGTGGGAGTTTTAATTTATTTTTATAAAATATTAAAAAATAATAATTAAATAAAAAATAAAAACTTTTTAGAGCTAGTTGCGTGTCCTTTCAAGTAGGGCCCCCATAGGCTTTATGAACCAGAATTATGTGCCACGTGGAAGGACTTAGTTTCGCAAGCCGCCACGCGCTTTAGAGAGCGAGTGAAGTGAGAGTGGAGACGAAGCACATGTAGGTTTATTTATTTATTTTGTATTTAAAAATTTTCAATTTATCGTGAGATGATATCGTTGATTGATGAGCTGGCGATTTGTACGATATTCTTAATACTCACATTTATGATAAAGTGATTTAAAAATATAAAATAATTTTAAAATAATTATAGGTAGGTTTCACTTAAATTAGTAATAATAGATTTGTCAAATTAAAAGTTTGGTGGGTCCCACATGACATCATGATTTCGAACACGCTCGTCACAAACCTTAAACAGAACTTGGCTTATTTGAACGTTAGGCAAGGTCTGTTTTTTCGCCAACCGAACACAACTTATAAGCTTGTTTGACTACACGCGCTGCTCGTGTGTGCTTGTTCGATTGTCTCGACTCATCCGACTTACTTATACACTAGGATAAGTCATTTGGCTCGATCTTGCCTGTCCTCGGAGTCAATGTCCCTCACATACAAAAAGTTGCTCATGATAATTGAAAATTATTGGTCGCCAATAGAAGTTGCACAACAAATCACAGATAACCGACAATAATAATAAGGGTATTTTGGTCATTTTCATATATCCTAGTTTCGAATTAAACGTTTTAAAACCTATTTTGATTTCAAGTGTTTTATGGTTAAAAGGTAAGAACAAATAATAAATAAATAAATAAAATTATGGTTAAGGTAGCAATCTCCTACAACCGTTCCTATTGAATGGCTTAATTATCAACGCTCCAAATCATCACAAAATCTTTGGTGGGCTCCATTTCGCTATTTCCAATGATATTAATATCATAATTTCTATTTTTGTAATTTTTTGTAATAATAATGTTCATAACTTTTTAATAATTATTATTGGATTTAAAAATATTGATTTAAATGGGATTATTCCAATCATTTATTTAATTTATTTAATAAAAACAAAATATTTTATTTATTATTTCAAATACTTAATTAAATTTAAATATAAATTTTAAATAATTACATCAAATTTTCAACCCAGACAAATAAAAATTCATGGGTCGGGTTGATCGGGTTGATTGGGTTCTTCAGATCATCAAATTTTTTTAACCCCCTCATTAATTAGGTATCCATCATCGATTTAATATATCTGAATAATATATCTCAAATGATTAAGTCATATAAATTTGCTTTTTCGATTAAATATCGGCTCGAGTCAGTTGGTAGAGTAGGGGACTCAAAATCTTCGTGTCACCGGTTCAAATCTGCTATTGAAAATAAATATAATGTGTAGGAAATGGCCGGTATCGCTCAGTTGGTAGAGCAAATGACTGAAAATCTTCATGTTACCGGTTCAAATCCGCTATTGAAAATACGTCTAATGTGTCGGAAAGAAAATGACTTGTATAGCTCAGTTAGTAGAGCAGATGACTCATAATCTTCTTTTTACCGGTTCAAATCTGCTATGAAAATAAATAAAGATAATGTGTCAGAAATGGCCGGTATAGCTCAGTTAGTACAGCAGAGGACTGAAAATCCTCGTATTACCGGTTCAAATATGCTATTGACAATAAGGATAATGTGTAGGAAAGGAAATGGTCGGTATAGCTCAGTTAGTAGAGCAGAGGACTGAAAATTCTCGTATTACCGGTTCGTTATTTGTTAAGTCCTTGTTTGATAACCATTTAATTTTTTAAAAATTACACGGGTTTTTTTATTATTTATTTTAATTATTTAAAAAAGCCCCTATGTGACAACTTTTGAAATTCACTATCAAATTTCATTTTATAAATAATAATCACATTTCTTATGTCATCTTGTTTTTGTACATTGAGAATCTTGTACTTGAAAAAGATTTCATTCACTAAATATAAATTTAACTTTTTGGTTTAGTACGAATATTGCAATTCTGGTCTTCGTGTATAGCCCAAGTTCGTCATGGGTAGATATTGTCTGCTTTGGCTCGTTACATGATTTTAAAACGCGTTTACTAGGGAGAGGTTTCTGTACCCTTATCAGGAATGTTTCGTTCGTTACGTATCGTCGTCAACCTCACGATTTTCACACCCTTATGAGGAATGTTTGGTTTCCAACTAACGTGGGATTCCACAATAATTTATAACAACTCAAGCCCACTGCTAATATATATTGTTCGTTTTGGCTTGTTACGTATTGTCGTTAGTCTCATGATTTTCACACCTTTATAAAAAATGTTTAGCGTCCCTCTCCACCAACCAACGTGGGATCTCACAATTTACCTCCTTTGGGGGCCAACGTCCTCGTTGGGACACTATCCGATGTCTGGCTTTGATATCATTTGTAACAGTAAAATCCGCCACTAGTCGATATTGTTCACTTTGGCCCGTTACATATCGTTGTCAGCCTCACAATTTTAAAACGCGTCTATTAGAGAGAGGTTTTGTTCCCCTTTTCAACCAATATGGGATCTCACAATAATTTGTAACAGACCGAGTCCACTGTTAATAAATATTGTCCGTTTTGGTTCGTTACGTATCGTCGTCAACCTCACAATTTCCAAACCCTTACAAGCAATGTTTGGTTTCCAACCAACATGGGATTCCACAATAATTTGTAACAGCTCGAGTCCACCGTTAATAGATATTGTCCGTTTTGGCTCGTTACGTATCGTCGTCAGCCTCATGATTTTCACACCCTTATAAGGAATGTTTGGTGTCCCTCTCCAATCAACGTGAGATCTCACAATCCACACCCCTTAGGGGCCAACGTCCTCGTTGGGACACCACCCAGTGTCTGGCTTTGATACCATTTGTAACAGCTAAATCCACCGCTAGTAGATATTGTTCGCTTTGGCTCCTTACGTATAGTCGTCAGCCTCACGATTTTAAAAACGCGTCTACTAGGGAGATGTTTCTATACCCTTAAAAGAAATATTTCGTTCCCTCCGGTCTCTTCTAAAAAAAAAACTAAAGAAATGCTATTGAAATGTTGAAGTTTAAGATATTACAACTAGAATAAGGAGGAGAGCAATAAAATGTTTTTGCTTACTTGCCATTTCCTCCTAGGATACAAGGTGATCTTGATCTGATGAGGAGTGGAAGAAGAGGCAGATAGCTGATATATCATCCATTGCAATGCCCCGTCTCTTCCGTTTCCATGCCCGAACCGCACACTCGACCAAACGTTTCGATGATTTTGCTCGATCCAATGTCGACGATACAATCTCGACTGCTTCTTGGTTAGAAACAACATCCCATACCTAACGAAACGAACAAAAAGAAGACGTTTCAGTTATACAACTCTCGATCCTCGTTTTCGACATTTTCGGGACGTCGTTTAAGAATCACGAGAATTGGCTGCAAAGCAAATGGTTCTTACCCCATCAGTTGCCAATATAATGAATTGGTCTCTTCTAGTTATGCTTCTACATGTCACTTCTGGCACTGAAATGAGCCCAAATTCTTTAATACAATAATCACCGAACGCTCTCGACATCGCCAATCCAGGCGATTCCTCGTCGGGAAGCCAGACTCGATGAACTCCAGGCTCATCACTTAAACAAAACACCCGCCCGTTGCACTGTCGAATCCGCTCGGCCTCCTCTAAAGATGGTAAAATATCAATATGTTAAAAAACTTGAACTACTTCATTCATATTCCAGATAGAAGAAGAGAGACACTAACGAGGTAGGTTCGGTTTGAAATCGACGGTGAGCTGAACCGGTACTACACTTCCATCATCTGAAGTAGTAGCCAAAACTGCTCGAGAGTCGCCAACGTTGGCTAAAACGACTAGTTCACCCTAGAAATGAATAGCAAAGAAGATCTATGATGATTATGATATTCTTCCTACTTAAGAAACATGAAACCAAAAAATCCATTTTACCTGTTTAACTATGGACAGGGCAGTTGTTCCACTGTAAACCGTATCGATTTTTCGATGCTGCTCGAGCTCGTGATCAATAGCAGCACAAGTTCTTAAAAACGAATGCTTCCATAACTCGAATCGTTGATGCTTCTTTTCTGAATCCAATTCTGGTTCAAGAAAAGCTTGAGCAAGTCCTTGTTGCCAATGGTGCAGCAACGATGGTGGCATCGATTCTCTTACCGTTTTCGCGACAAAATGACCCCACGGTCCGTGCCCATCGAAAACTCCACAAAATAACATGTCGTCTTGGCATCCAAATTCCTAAAAACACATAACAAGCAGTTCTAATATTGCAAAACAACAAAAAAAAAAAAAAAACTCCCAAACTTGGTTTTTTCGATCGATTAGCTTACCTGCCATACGATGCAGCAATCTTGGTTTACTCCTTTGTTGCCTCGTTTCGAGAACACCGAAGCAAAACTCTCCGAGCCATCTGCATTGAGGAAGCCAGAGGTGCATAATATCGAGTCTTTCTTTTTCGCTTCCTTTACCATGGCTTTTGCAGCTTCTCGACCTCCCTCGTTGCCTAAACTCCCGGAATTTCTACCTTTTTTGAAAGAAAATGACCTTGCTAAACCATTGAACATGGTGGAGAAATGCCCCATTAGCCTTGCAACTCAAATTCTCACAACCCCACTGATCCAAAACTTTGATTCTTGCTTTTAAAGAATCAGTTTCTGAACATCAAACAGCTTAAAATCAGCTAAATCCAATACCATGAACAAAGGACAGGATCTGACTCAGAAAGCTAAGAATCTTATGCTTTTTAGAACAGGAAATGACATGTTTCAGTGAATTTGTAAGCCATTATCACAAGAATTCATAATAAACAGCTAAAACCTATAAGAATATTGTACAAAATTCATAGTAGAGGTGCTGAGAATAGTTCAATTCAAGCAAAAAAGACAAGAATGATCAAAGGCCAAACAAATTTAGTATCCCCCACTTGCTTTTGGATCTATAAAAAAATCAACCCACTTGCTAGTCACAAGAAATCCTGTTTTTTCTTTCACAGAGAAAATTTTCCTGTTCTTTTGAAATTTTCTCAGCTCCCAAACAGAATAACCACTCAGTTTGTCTTTCACTGCGAGAAGATTTTCCTGTTCTCTTGAAATTTTCTCAGCTCCCAAACAGAAAAACTTGTCAATCTGTTTTTCACTGTGAGAAAATTTTGCTGTCGTTAATCTTTTGAACAATTTTCAACTCCCTAGAACAGACCTTTAATTATTCATATTATGATGACACTTTCAAAAGGAAAAACACCTTTAATCAGAGCTCTAAATTGCTTAATCCATTAGAACAGGCACACAAAACAAGAGACAGAAAAAAAAAACCCCAAAAAACAGGGGAGAAAAAATTAAGGTTCAAGACAAGGAAATCAAATCTCAGAGTTCATAGAACTAAAAAAAAAACTGAGAAGGATGAAAAATCCACGAAAATCAACCTCAGACACAAACGGACTCCACGAAAATGGTCGAAGAGTGAGGCGGCTTACAGAGGCGGAATCCGGAGGAATCGCCGGGAAACAGAACGGCGAAGGGGATTCCGGCGAACAGAGTCGGCGGCGATAGTGGAGGGAAATCGATCAACATCCATAGGAAGTTCGCGATTGGCGGAGTTGGGATTTTATGCGCGAAAGAGGAAGAAAATGGGAGAAAAAACGAAGTGGACGTACGACGAAAGCTGTAATCGAGTGATTATATGTGAAACGTGCCGCTTTTGACTGTGGGTTTGTTATGCATATAAGACGGTCCTTTTCTTTTGGTGAATTTTCAATATGGTCCTCCATCTTTTGAAAATGTCAAATTTAACCCCTTAATTTTTAACTTTAAATTTCTATAAAATATTCAAATTCCACCCCTTCCGAGTCTAGCGTCCTTACTAGCACACCGCCTTGTGTTTACTCCCCTTCGGAGAACAGCCTTCTCGATGACGTCGGGCTCTTATATCATTTGTAACATTGGAGCTTATCGCCAGAAAATAATTAATCTAGATAGTCCTCTGTGACTCTGCTGGCAACTAGATCAATACGTTATTGCTTCAAGAGAAGCTCCTGTCGAAGTTCACTATGAATCCTTGGGTACCCATCATGAGACCTCGTGTTTACTTCCCTTCGGGGAACAGCCTCCTCGGTGACGTCGGGCTCTTATACCATTTGTAACATTGGAGCTTATCGCCAGAAAGGAATCAATTTAGATAGTCCTTTGTGGCTCCGTTGGTGACTAGATCAACATGTTATTGCTTCAAGAGAAGCTCCTGTCGAAATTCACTATGAATATTTGGGTACCCATCATGAGATGAACGGGTACTATCTAATAGTCAAAAGTATATATATATAAAATTAAAAAAAATCTTTGTATTCGAACCACTATTGGTCATATTTCTCTTCATCGAGGACTGCTCTGTCTACTCCCCTTTGGGGAACAGCCTCCTCACTGGCACATGCTCCAATGTCTAGCTCTGATACCATTTGTAACGGCTCAGGTCCACCGCTAGTAGATATTGTCCTCTTTAGACTTTTTCTTTCGGGTTTCCCCTCAAGGCTTTAAAACACGTCTGTTAGGGGAATGTTTCTACACCCTTATAAATGATGTTTCGTTCTCCTCCCCAACCAATGTAAGACTCTCGCAAAAAAAAACAAGGAAATGAAAGTTACTATTTATACCAATAGAGTATCTTAAGCTTACTTCGAAAGAATCTAATTTTGTTAAAGGAATCTAACTTTAAATTTGTATAAAATATTCCATTTCCTTTTTTACAAATTATTTAGTAGACGTGTAATTTTTTTTTAAATATTGAATAATTGAGTGACGTAAAAAAAATAAAATTTTAAATTTTAAAATACATATGAAAGTTGGTTAAAATATTACAATTTTATTTTATTTTAGTCACTATATTTCTTAAACTTCAAATTCGGTAAGGGTTATAGTACAAAACTAATAATTAAATTTGAATATTTAAAAATATCCGTACAAAAATGTAACAAAATTTAAAATACAGGGACCAAAATGATATTTTAATTTTAAAAGTTTTAAGGTTTTTCAGACCTTTCTAAAGTTTAAGGGACAAAATAGATAAAATTTTAAAAGTTTAGTAACCTATTACACTCGATTAAATAGACAAATTTATTATTTAATTTATAAGTCATAACTTTTAGCAAATAAATAAATAAAACTCGTTAATAATTTTATTTTATTTTATAAATCATTAATATATATATTAAAGATATAATTTATAATTTTAAGATATTTAAGAATCAAATGGATTAAAAAAAAATTGAAAATTAGGGACCATTGAGTATATTTATGTGATAAATACACCTATTATGAGTATATAAAATAATGCATTGAAAATGTAGGAATTAATAAATTTGTGGTTGGGTCAACTTTAGGCAGCATTTTATTTATTTATTTATTTATTTTTGCATGTGTTAATTGTTTTTCTATGAATATTAAAAATTATATTTTTTTAATAAATACTAACAAAATTTAAAAACCCGAGTAAAGGAAGAGTATATGATAAATCAAAACCACCTCCAAATGAGAGTAATCTTGAAGATAGAATGACTGAGAAAAACTTGAAGGAAATATAGTTACTATCTATACTAACAAGGTGCACCTTCTTTTTTTAGTAGCTCAATCATAAGAACTCTACCGTTAAACATGCATGAACGAATCTGTGATGTCACACAGTGGTTGGGGAGGAGAACAAACCACTATTTATAAGGGTGTGGAAACCTTCCTTAGTAGACGCGTTTTAAAGGGAAGCCCGAAAAGAAAAGTCTAAAAAGGACAATATCTGCTAGCGGTGGATCTGGGCTGTTACAAATTGTATCAGAGCTCGACACTAGATGATGTGCTAGCCTTCTCGCTGTTACCCGAAGGGGGGTAGACACGAGGTGATGTGTCAGTAAGGACGCTGGGCCCCAAAGAGGGTGGATTTGGGGGCAGTCCCACATCGATTAGAGGAAGGAAAGAGTGCCAGTAAAGACGCTGGGCACTAAAGGGGGGGTGGATTTGGGGGCAGTCCACATCGATTAGAGGAAGGAAAGAGTGCCAACGAGGACGCTGGAACCCGAAGGGGGTGGATTGTGATTTCTCACATTTTGGGGCCCAGATTTGGGGGCGGTCCCACATCGATTAGAGGAAGGAAAGAGTGCCAACGAGAACGTTGGACCACGAAGGGGGGGGGGGGGGATTGTGATGTCCCACATTGGGTTGGGGAGGAGAACAAACCACCATTTATAAGGGTGTGAAAACCTTCCCGTAGCAAACTTTTATAAAGTCTTGACGGAAAGCCCAAAGAGGACAATATCTGCTAGCCGTGGCAACGGGCTAAAAGCCTAAAATACACCTATAAGAATTTTAAGATGTTTTCATGGTATGAAACTTTTATGAGAATTGTTTACGACCTTAAGGGTAATCATGCAAGATCTTAAGGTTATTAGAACGTGTTTGGGGTATGATCCAAGAGAAAAAGTATGAAACTATCCCTAAAGACTGTTTATAGAAATCAAGGTTTTTATGAATATCAAGTGACAAGATACTTATAAAAGATTTACGTATTTGAAGAAATGTTTATGACTCATANTCTCGAAGGGGGGGGGGGTGGATTGTGATTTCCCACATTTTGGGGCCCGAATTTGAGGGCGGTCCCACATCGATTAGAGGAAGGAAAGGGTGCCAACGAGGACGCTGGACCCGAAGGGGGGTGGATTGTGATTTCTCACATTTTGGGGCCTGGATTTGGGGGCGGTCCCACATCGATTAGAGGAAGGAAAGAGTGCCAACAAGGACGCTGGATCCGAAGGGGGGTGGATTGTGATTTCCCACGTTGGTCGGGAGGAGAACAAACCACCATTCATAAGTGCATGGAAACCTTCCCTAGTAGACGGGTTTTAAAGCCTTGAAGGTAAGCCCAAAGAGGACAATATCAGCTAGCTGTGGATCTGGGCCGTTACAGAATCCACTTTTATTTATGAAACCAATGATAAACTAAAAAATCAAAATTTTAAAAATCAAAAGGTTAATTTTAATTAATTAATATAAACTAAGAATACCAACATTAGCTGATTGTACTATTTAATTGACTTGGTCACATAAACCCATTTATTTATTTTTTAGTGTTTAAAAGAAAGTCTAGTCAACATTTAAAAAATACATTACGTTACAAAATAAAATAAATAAAAACTATAATTTAAATTATGAATACATTTTTTTAATTTGATAGGCTTTGGGAGTATTTAAATACTGGATTTTAAGATAATAATTAATATTTTAATTAATTAAATTATAAAAAATTATATTCCTGACGTCGATATAAAAAAATTTCGACTAATTGAAACTAAAATTTTTTATTAGATTTATAATTTTCTTAAATTTTTTAAAATCTTAGTTAAATTATAAATTTGATGGAAAATATTAATTTTAATAAAATTTTCATAAATAAATCATATTGTAAAAAACATTTTATTAAATTATAAAAGTAATTCTCTTAATAAATCTATCTGACACGTGGCAGTCGATTAAGCTATAAAACGGCACCGTCCAAATCTTGACTAATTTAAAATTAAAAGTACATAATAATATTAGTATATGGTTGGAAATTAGGTATATAAATAATTTAATTAAGAAATAAAGTATTTGTGACAAAGAGAATATAATGATTTAATTTTGGTTTGTTAGTATGGTGGCAAAAACCAACCAATAATAATATGCCAGCTGTATATTAATTACCAAATTAAAGCAGGCAAGTTATATATATTTTTATTTTAAAATTAAAATTAAAAATTTTAACGTTCTAAAATAGGAAAAATTAATTTTGAAAACTATATAATAATAATAATAATAATAATTTGCGAATAAATATAGTTGGAAAAATAAAAAAAACTTTAGATTTTAATGATTAAAGAATCTTTGCATGAACCAATAAATAATTTAAATGTATTTTATATATAAAATTCCACGCTGGCAATGATTTCAAATTTGACATATACAATAATTAATAAAAATATAAATTATTTATTTTACGGTTCTCATTTTATTTAGATAATCTAGCTTAAACGAGCTTATCTCAATCATTAATGTCACTCCGAGCTTATCTCGATCGTGAGGTTCACTTGAATTTGGTTAATCTAGCTATGTTATTTACGGGTCCCTGCAATTGTGTAATGATCATACGTATATATAGGTGTAGAGGGGAAGAAAATATTCTTTATAAGAGTGTAGAAACCTCTCTTTAGTAGACGTGTTTTAAAATCGTGAGGCTGACAATGAGACGTAACGAGTCAAAGCGGATAATATCTACTAGTGGTGAGTTTGAACTATTACAAATGGTATCAGAGCCAGATACCGGGCGATGTGTTAGCGAGGACGGGTAGATTGTGAAATCTCACATTGGTTGGAGAGAGAACGGAATCATTTCTTAAAAGGGCGTGGGCGCCTCTCCCTAGTAGATAAAACTGTGAGACTCACGAGGATATGTAACAGGTCAAAGTAGACAATATCTGGTAGCGGTAGGTTTGCACTGTTACACACGTGTTCCAACTTATGGTACATATACGAATTCTATCCATCTAGACGGTTTAATACTAGAGATTGATGGACCAACCTGATCCATACGAATTGAATCAGACCGTTCCAACCAAGTCGGATTGTGTCGGTCCAACTGATTTGGTCAAACCAATTCAAGTGAAAAGTTTGTAGAACTTCTTA